AGAATATCTAATAATCATGTCTTTAAAACCCATCTTTTTGTAGTTCTTAAAAAAGACAAACAGTGGTTTGGTCTTCAGCTACACATTAGGGGATGATATCTTCTCTAAACAAATGTTGACATAATTGTTTTGTTTCTAAGAAACATTGTTTATTACAATCCTGTTTAATGGTTCATTTTCTTTGATTTGGAGTTGACCATTTTCCTTTCATTAATGTTAACATTGCATAAACTAGGTGACTGCGATTTATTCATCTACTTTAGGGCCATAAAAAATAAATCTTTTCTTTGTGTAGGAAGATGGCACTATTGCCTCACTCTTAGTTTAACAATATATAGTGGGAGAAATACTGGTTAAATATCAAAAGACTTGGGTTTAAGTTCCAGCTTTAATGTTTACCAACTTGTGACTTGGCAAGTTGCTAATTTTGCTAATCTTGCTGACCCTCCACTTGTCTGTAAAATGGCTTTTTTATATTTTCGCAAGAATTAAAAGAGAGAATGTCTGATATGAATGTTGTCTGTACACTTCAAAGCACCACAATAAGTTTCATTGGTAATAGAACAGTATATAACATTTATTTTATACAGATAGATGATAGAGAGAGATGAATAGAGAGAGAAACATTTTGTCTTCTTGAGGTATTGCCCCCTTTATCATCATAAAATGTCCATCTTTGTCTCTTGTTATCTTTGTTATGCTGAGATCTATTTTTTCAGATATAAGTATGGCTATACCTGCTTTTCTGTGGATGTTATTTGTTTGGAGAGTCAATTTCTACTCTTTCACTTTAAGTCTGTGTTTGCAGCTTAGACGTGTCCCCTGAAGACAATGTGTGGTTAGGTTTTGTTTCTTGATCTAAATTGTTACTCTATGACTTTTTATTGGTGAATTCAATTCATTTGCATTTAAGGTACTTATCGATGTATTAGAATTTCCTGCAGCCATTTTAACTTCTGTTTTCTGGTGACTCTGTGCCTCCCCTGGTTATTTTCCTCTGTCTTTCTGTCTGTTGTGTTTTGTTTGGTGGTATTCCATATTTTTTCCCTTTGTGTCTTTTTTTTTAAGTTATGTGTCTGTTTTGAGTTTTTGTATGTGGTTACCATTAGGTTTATGAAAAAGAAAGGTTCATATATACAGCGATCCTTTTTCTTTTAAATGCATCTAATCTCCAGCCCTCTTTGCAAGTTCAGACTTTTGCTCCCTGCCTTTTTATCTTTATGTGGCCACAAATTATCCCTATTTACCCCGAGTTTGTTGGTGATCTTACTCATAATTCTGTGACCTTTTGCTCTTTGTTTCAGGGAGAATAACCCCCTTGAGTATTTCCTGCAATGGAGATTTTCTGGTAATAAATTCCCACAGCTTCTGTAGTCTGGAATAGTTTTTTATTTCTTCTTCATTTCTAAAGGGTAATTTTGGCTGGTAATTTCTCTTTCAATAGTTTGAATATTTGGTTCTACTCTCTTCTAGCTTGTAAAGTTTCTGTTGAGAAATCCAATGATAACTTAATGGACTTTCCTTTACAGGTTACCTTCCTCTTTTCTCCTGGCTGCTTAGAGAATTCTTTGCCATTAAATTTTCACTGCTTTAATAAAATGTGCCTTGGAGAAGCCCTTTTGGACTGAGGTAATTAGTGTTCTGTTTGCTTCTCTGATTCGAGAATCTAGTTCTTCCCATGGGTTTGGGAAGTTCTCATCAGCTATTTGTTTGAAAATGCTCTCCATTCCCTCCTCCCTCTCTTCTTCTTCTGGTATATCTATTATTCTTATATTTCTCTTTTTGATGAAGTTAGCTAGTCCTCAAAGAGTTCTCTTCTTCCTTCTGCATCATTTCTAGATTTCTATCTTCCTTGTCACTAATTCTTCCCTTCATCTGGTCAGCTCTATTTTCTATGCTTGCCAGTTCATTCTTTATCTCTTTCACTGAGTTCTTTTTATCCATAATTTCTCTTTGGTCTTTTTTAAAAATTTCAATCTCTGGTAAAATACTTCTTTTGTTCATTGATTTTGTTTCTGAGTTCATCGAACTTCCTGAATTTTCTTGCATCTCGTTCAGGGTTTTCAAAACTGCAATCTTGAATTCTATGTCATTTAAATCACATATTTCCATGTCTTTAAGTTTTTTCACTTTTTTTCTGAGCTTCCTCGTTATCTTCATTATTCGTGGTATTTGGTGGATTCTATCTAGGCAAACATGTTAGGAGTGGCACTTCTCTAGATTGATAAGAAGTCTTTCTATTCTTTTCCAGTAGGTGGCGCCGAATCACAACTTTCTTAGCTCTCTTGCACTTCTTGGGCTTTTCAGGTCTTCGTGGAGTGGTGGAAAAATGGCCTGTGTTCCCCTGGGAAAAGTGGTGTCTTCCCTGTGATCTGGTCGCCCCAGCCCCAGGGGACCAACCTCCCAGGGGAATGCAGTGAGCAATGGGGCTCCAAGTCTGTAAAATCCGAGTGCTATACCCAGCAGCCAGCCGTCACCGGCAGCATAGCAATGCTGTGTGGTGGTGGAGTGAGCTTGGGGAGCCCGGCTACCTCCTTTGGTGCTTTGCCCTCCCAGCTGTGGCAACCTTGGGCCTCAACGAAGCCTCCTGTGCCTCAACCTGACCCTTGGATTAGTCACAGAGTGTGCCTTTTGCTCAGGGAAAAAGTGTTCCTGTAGTATCCAGTTCTCAGGTTTGCAGATAATCTGCTCCGCATCTCAACAAGAGTGGGTGAGAGGGGCCAAGCTCTGGGAAGTTCAGTGAAGGTGGTCAAGCCCTGTGGCTTTTTTTCTTTGCTGGTAATGCAGTTTGCCTGACAACTGTGGCCGCACCTTTGTGCTTCATCCTTGCCCATGTCACTGGGGTCAGCTGCAGGCCGTAGTGCCCACTCCCGCAGGAATGCTCACTGAATCTTTTTGCTCCTCTTGCTGAAAGGAGTGCCAGTCACAACCCGATCCCACCCCTCTCTGGGCTGAGCCCCACCCTGAGCTCCAGGCTGCCGGGCTGCATCTGTAGCTTATCTCAGCTTTCTTCCTTTTTACCTCCCCGGTTTTCTTCCACTTGCCCACCTTTAGAAGTTTCAAGATGCAGATGACTCAGACGTGTTTGTGCATTGAGCAGAGAATCTTTTGTTGAATTAGAGCTGTTCAAATTGTTGAAATTTCAAGAGGAGAAACCAAGGGGATCTCTCATGCTACCACATTCTTCTGATTTCCTTCCTCCTCGAATATTTTGATAATGTCCTCATTGTTTGTTATTAGATGAGGGATTAGGATGCTTTGGGTAAATAAGCTAAAGTGTAAAAGTTAAAGAAATTATTTAGATGGGAAAGAAGTCTATATAAATCTTTACTAAAATTGCATCTTAACAAAAGACCTTTACCATGGAGAAATCTGGACGCTAATATTACCAGTGGGACATGTTGACATAATATAGCTTCTCATATAAATACCTTGAAGGATGCATTATCTGTGTAATAGCAATTAATTATGAAGAAACATTCAGCAAATCTAAATTGAAGAGTATTCTAGAGAATAATTGGCCTGAACTCTTCAAAAATGGTAATCCTAGGTAAGACCCCCCCAATAAAAAAAGGCAAAATAAAAATTAAACAATACTAACAAAACATGCGACTCAATTCAGCATATCACTTTTGATTGGACCTCGAATCAAAAAAAGACATTCGGCTAAATTTGAAGATGAATTATACATTAGAAATACTGTAACAATGTTAAATATTTGAAGTAGGTAATTATTTGTGCTTCGGTTTTATTAAGTAAAAATTCTCTTGCTTAAGAAATACATACTAAAGCATTTAAGGGTAAACTGTCATGAGGTTCACAACTTCACTCTGAAATGATAGTTAAATATATATGTCTATATATACACACAGAGGAGAGAAAATATGGCAAACTATTATTGATAATTTTGATAAAGTATTCTCACAATTTTTCTAAAGGACTGAAATTTTTCAAATTAAAAGGGTTTTGAGGAAAAATTAAAACTATATATTGTAAAAGTGTCTAGGTATGGAAGGAAAACCACAATTTAGTAAAAAAAAAATATATATATATATATATAATGATCCAATTTCATAAGTTTTATATATACACATTTGTTCACTAAAAACAAACAAACAAATAATAGAAATCCTTGGGTACAGGGTCAAATGGGTCGGGCTATAAAATTAGCTGTCTTGATACATAAAGTTATCTTATTCCTTTGCTTTTGTTCATAATTTATAATGGTTCTAAACAGATGAGTCAAGTGGAACTCAATCACAACCTGTTTCAAGTTGGGTTCTTCATGAAGCATATTATGAGATGGGCTGTAGTGTGTGGGATATTCATTAGGACGTGCCACAGGGTTAACACCCAGAGAACAGAGAAAAAGGAAGCAGGCTGTAGGTCCGATGAGAACTCCAGCCAACCTTACGGGGAACTCTGGAGCAAAAATGGCCCACAAGAGCTGTCACTCGCTGTGTCAAAATAGCAGCCTCCTAATAGCTGAACCTTGATCGGTCTTTGGATATTGGCGGTGCTGTCAAAGCTGTAACCTCGGGCAGGGCTCTCTAAGCTGCAGGAGCTGACCGCTGAAATCTGTCTGCGAACCTCATTCCCAGTAGCTGGGTAATAGGCCCTCCCTTGAAGGAGGAACAGATGGTGCATCTCATTTTCATCACACAATTTATCTCCTTTTATTTTAGCAGTTATATATTGCTTTTTAAAAATTTGTTTTAGTTGAATTGGGGATTCTAATTTCAACTGTTCAGTAACGAAATCAGTGAATTTATATAAGCTCTATCCTCTCCATTCATAACCCTGTCACTGCATATGATCTCTGCATTTGTTCTTAAATCCTAATAATCTCTTTTAGTCTTTCTTAGGGGCCTGCTATGGACAGAATTATGCCCCCCATCCCCACTCCAATCTATACGTTGAAGGCCTAACTCTTAATGTGACAATATTTGCAGATAGTGTCTTTAAGAGATGATTAAGGTTGAATGAGGTCACAGGAGTGGAGCCTTAGGGGAGATACCATGATGAGGAAGGTGGTGTTCCCAGGGTGAGGCTCACCCATTGCACTCTGGGTATGCTGACCCCTGCAGTTTCCCCAAAACTGGGAAACTCGACTGCATAACTTGTGGTAGTGCGGGACTGCATTCACACTCTCCCCTGCAAGAGAAAAAAAGAGTGGAGACTTAATCCTACAGAACTGGTAGCCTTATGAGAAGAGAAGAGAGAAATCTTCCTCACTCTGGGCACTCCAGAGAAAGACCATGTTGAGTGTAAGAGCAGCAGTCTGCAAGCCAGAAAAAGAGTTCTTGCGAGAAACCAAATCCTACTGGAACCTTGATCTTGAATTTTCCAACCTTTAGAACTGTAGGAAAATCAATTTTTGTTGTTTAAACTCTGTAGTCTGTGATAATTTTATATGGCAGCCCAAGCAGACTAATACAGGGCCAAAATTGAACATCACAACAAAAACGTGCCAAATAATTAGACCATGTAATTTATAGTTCTTAGACTGACGTAATTTCATGAATGGCATAATTGAGTTCTAATGACAAGAATCTGTGATGTAGAGAAGACATATCATGTTCTTCCTGTCTCTCTTTCTCTGTGTCCCTTAATACTCCCATGATTGCTCTGTCTCTACATTTCTATCTATCGTTGTTTAATTTTACTTTTTTATGTTTAAATAAATCATTGAAATACATGATGGGAAAAAAGTTTTTGCCTTGGGATTGGGCTTAATTTGTTACATTGCTTGTTTTTATGATCCTGGTGTTATCATGAAGACAATCGAGTTCCTTACGGTTTATGGCTAGACTGGCCCATTTTTCTTTTCTTACCCTGGGATTCTAAGAAACTATAGTTACCAAGAAAGGGTTCCAGTAACAGTAATATTTCCCTCTTGACAGGCTGCTTTGATTTATTCTTTCAGAAGGAAAATGATGTCCTTGAAAAAATTTCATCCAATCTCACTTTTGCTTTTTTTAACCACAATCGAAAAAAGGCTAGCTGAATTGTGGACATGAACAAGGCTCGGCTTTTATGTTCTGCTCAAGTGACTACCAACCATCTTTTATAGGATCAAATCCATGGTCTGCGGTTTATTATCACTGGGCCTTGAGCAGGAGAGCTAACCAACCCAAGAGAGTAAATTGGGTGATGTCTTTAATTGAAGGGGATAAAGCAAAAGCATGTCCAAATGTAAGTTAATGTAGTACACCCCTAGGCAGAAATCGGTTATGTGCTTTTTCAGATGTAACATTTTAATTGGCATACCTGATAGAAGGTTAAATAAAATGTACACCAAACCTCATTAGTACTCAATTGTCAAATATCCTCCCTGAAACATGACTAAAACTAGCAGTAAGTGGGTGCAACTCACAATTATGAGAGACCTAGAAGTTGTCTTTAGCAATACCATTTGCAACAAAGAATTTCAACTGGTTCCATTAGACCAACCACTTTTGCTATTTCGTCCAAGAGTTTTAACTTTTAAGCTGGGTATTTGAAAATCCCTTTTCCCCATAGTAGTCCCTTTCAAGTGTCCTTCTGGAAATTATCTGTGGCAGTACATTTCTGATGAGCTGCCACTCTTAAACGATGCCTACACCTGGCATGAAAACAAAATACTGTATCTTAGCATAATGTTTGAAGGTTTTTCTAGAATAAAATGGTTATAAAACCAAGAAATAGTCTTTCCCTACCCCATCTACCTCCCCTCCGCAAAAAACTCTGTAAAGGACCATCTCCTTCATAACAAAGACAGATGTATAAAGATGAATGTCAGAATATCAGAAGTCCTTGAAACTCCCCAAAATAAAAATGATATTCAGATGATCATGAATTCAGAATTTGCCATGGTTACATTTCTTGATTCTCTTTCATGCTTTGGTGAATGAGCTGCCCACATTTTCTCTTGATTTCTGCAACACAACTACCAATGGTTCCAAACATCTTTATCTCTCTACTCTCAGTAAGGAGAAATGCCATAGCACCTTTCACTATGCTACTGGAATTTCTTCAGTCAACAAACATTTATTGAGTCTCTACTTTGTGTCAAGTCCACTGAGGATAACCCAGTGAAAAAGACAACCCCTCCCTCTCAGAAGCTCATTGGCTAGTATGGGAGGGCACAGAAAAACACACAATTGCAATACAGCATGATAAGAACTAAAAATGGGGAAAATACAAAGAGCACTGGAAAGACATAAGAGGGATATCAAGCTCCAGCTTAAAGAAAGGGTCAAATTAAAAGAGCATAGAAGAGGTATTAACTTGAAACCTGAAGCGGAATAAAAAAATCAGGATTTAAAAAAGATAAAGGCTACAGAAAGTACAATGACCATAAGGTAAGACCAAGTGTTTAAAATTTGTGAAAATGCACATGACTCACAGCTTAGTTAATTTAGGTGAGGTGGGAGGCAGTGGTGAGAAATAAAGCAGGAAAGGTAAGTTTTCAAGGTAATGAAGACTTGAAAACTGACTTACAGACTTTGAACTTTATGTTGAAGGCAATGTGGAACACAAAAAGATTTTAAGCTAGGAAGTCACAGGATCATTTTGGCTTTTGAAAAAACTACTCTGGCTGAGATACAAAGAACAGATTGGATTGAGGTACAACTGGAGGCCAAATGGATGGTTGTAAAAAGGTTATTGCAGCAACCCAGCAGCATGAAGAAAAATAAATAAATTTGAAAAACATTTAAGACATACTTTTGACAGATCTTAGTGATAGTCTATTATGAAAATGAGGAAGAAATAATAATCAAAGTGAGAATGAAGTTCATAGCATAAGAGGTTGGATGCATTGGATAAGCAACCAATGGTGAGAGGGAAAAGTTATTTAGTAATGGAGGACTAGCTTTAAAACTAAATGTCCATTTCCACATTCACTGTGAAATAGAAGAATTGGTTGAACATGATAAGTTTGTAGGTGAAGGGGCAGAAGTTGAAGTAGTTTCAACCTAGTGATTTTTCTTTACAAAATCAGAGGCAAAGCCATCTGCTGAGAGGAAGAGAGACAGGATATATGGATGTTTGAAGAGAGTGGAGTGGAGTTTGAAGAAATTTTAGAAAGCTAATATTCAGAATGGGAGAAAAAGTGATGAGAGACCTATAGCAGGAACTTTAGGTGGGATTGATCCATTTAAGGTTGGAGATCATTAAATTAATTAAAATTAATAACACTTAAATGACATTAATTTTCAGAGTTGAGTGATTAATTTTTTTTAATAACATTCATCATCCTAGATAAAAAGAAGCAGCAAAAACAAAAAATCAGACTGCTCTAAAGTGTAGGACTTTTCCAGATGGCTGAGACATTAAAAAAAAAAAACAACCCACAAGGAACTTGAGGATAACAGCAAAAGTAAAAATTGTTCAAAGTAATAGATTATAGGGTTTAGGGAGGGTAAGAAAGTGACAGTGGAGGGGTGTGGCAAACACAGGAAAAGTAAAGGAATCAAGGGATTAGAAGCCCTTAGAACCTGAGGGGGAAATCTAGTAATGATAACAAAGGAAGAGGCAAAGATAGGAACAGGAAACTTAGAAAGATATGGTCAGAGATTGCAATGTTTTAAATTAATATTTCAAAATTGAAGCAGTTTCAGATGATAACAGCAGGTGCTGACATGCTCTGGGGAATGAGTAAATAAGGGTATAGACTGCTGACGACAGGGAATCTAAAGCACAGGGACCGGAGTGGATATACCATCTTGGAAGTACTCAGTAAGGTGGAAAAAAATGGGAGGAAGAAAAAGAATGTAAAGTCAGCGCTAATTTCTTTAAGGGATGAGGGGGAAATAACCAGTTAGTCGAGTGATGACACCAACAGTTTTGTGTGGAGGGTGGAGTGAACCTTAATGAATAGAGATTTTTGTATGAAAGTGAAAGAGTAATGATCTGGAATAAAAGAGAAAACTACTGACACACCACTAACCCTGAGGTATGTTGGAGACAGAAAGCAGAGGGCAGTGGCCTTTTCTTCCATGAATACATCTCAAAACACTTCTCAGCAATTCTGAAGACCACCCTCTGTGGGTTTATTCAAATTTAATCACCATCTTGAATGGGGCTTAATTTTATCTATATTTGCGAATAGTGAAGACTTTTCTCTCTTTCCAAAACTAGCTGGATTTTCATGGCATGAATATTTGGGACCTCACAGTACAGCTGCTGCACATCAATCTTGCATGAACTCTTAACAAAAAAAAAAAAAAATTCATGTGCCAGCAGAAGGTACGGACCACACTGGGTTTTCCCACCCAGGAATGGTCACCCTGATGTGTAATCAATCAACAGGAAAGGTGTGCCTTCTGCAAAGAAACTCCAAGAGGTCACTTTCCTAGGTGTGATCAATCTCCCCCATGCTGATCATGTTATAGCGATTACCACTCCATCCTAACAGCTTCTTCTCAAGGGAGAAACAAAACTGTATCTGTGAATGTTTAGTATGGTGTGTCTTGTCAGGTTAAATTACCTTGTAACATAACTCACTATAAATTCACCTCATAAGTAAAAAACAGTTGGAGATTTTAAAACACCATCAAAAAGCGTTCTATTTGCGGGTAGAACTATGTTATGCAATTACAACTGAACCATGCCAGTGACCCTCCTCATCAGCAAAAGAGTCAGAATTTCTTTATTTCAGCACAAAAGAAAAAATCTTCCATGCATTATGGCCTGAGGTTCCACCGGACCAAGAAAGTAATATTTGTTCTTATGACCTTTGAAGGAGATTGAAAAAAAATACCTTAGCATTTAATGAGCATCTAATATATGTTAGACTAATGCTGTACATATATACTCTCTTATAAGACTCAGTATAAGCACTACCTCCTCCTGGAAGACTTCGTGATCACCTCCCAAATCAGAGTATGATGTTAATTTTGTGTGTCAATTTGACTGGGCCAAGGGGTGCCCAGATAGTTAGCTAAACATTATTCTGGGTGTGTCATTGGGGATGTTGATGGATAAAATTCATTTTACATCAGCAGGCTGAGTAAAGCAGATTATCCCCCCCAGAGTGGGTGGGCCTCATTCAATCTGCCAAAGGCATGAACAGAACAAAAAATCTCAGTAAGGGAGAATTCACTCTCTCTGCCTGTTTTTGATCTGGGGCACTGGCCGCCTTCTGCCTTCAGAACTGGACTCAGACTGAAACG